TTAGCAGAACTTAAAAGTATAAAACTCAATTATTAAACAGAGGAAATGTTTGGCATGGAGAAAACTTGGTCAACGAAGAGAAACACATTCAAAGGAAACATTATACACGCTAGATAATAATTCCGAAAGCTAATACCCTTCCTTATGATTCTAAACGATGAAGAAAACTATACAGTTCGCGTTTTCTTCTCCACCAAAATAACTTTGATCGCAAAGTCTCTTTTTCTTTGAATTACGAAACCAAACCCACAAATGAAAATTAACATTTGCAATGTGAAAAGTCTGCGAATTTCTACGTGATGAGAAGCAAATGATCAGAAATCGATGATATGTTGGGAACTGAATTTAGGATGATATTGAATTGAAAATGAAGCATCCATTGAAGTTTAGAACATATAAAACCACATAGATCATTGAACTTGTTGTACTAAGATTAAAAAAAAAAGAGTAACATATGATTACATGATACATATATATCTACCAGAGACCAGACCAAAACATAAATTTCGTAGTTGTTTTTTTATCTGTAATCACTGGAGAACTTGCACATGCACTTACTCAAGAAAAAAGCCTAAGCAGCAATCAAACTCTTCAGGTCTCTATATATATACATATATGCACTAAAGCTGACAAATAAATATAACTTCATGACTGCTAACTCTTAATTTATTTATATGCATGCTATCCATCTAGAACGAACCATGTATATATCTGATCAATTATGAAGAGGGTTTGGTCCACTAGGAACTAGCCGGTGAGAAACTGCATGAATTTGCTTGAACTTACTCTTTCTTGAGTTCAAAGAGGAGACAATGGCAGAATAACTCTGAATAAACATGGGAGATACCTTTCTTTCTGATCTCCTTTTCAATTCTACATAACGAGAGGTTGAATCTTGCATTAAAGACAGCAAAATGATGAGAAGCAGAAAAAGGGTTGAGAATTTTGGAACTCCCATAATTGCGATAGAGGATAGAAATTGAAAGTAAGAAATTGTGTTTATGAATATGTTGGTTGAGTACAAGTCTATGGCAGGGTCTATACTTAACCGTAGACAATGTGAAAATTAGAGGCTATAGATTGACAAATTAAGCAGATTTAAAATATAAATTTACTTGAGAGAGAATATGTGACGAGCACATTCTGTGACTCACACATGCCAAATGTCAAAACTTGACTTTTCAGAAAGCGATGAGTGGCTGCCCCAAGTAATCCATTGATGATCGTGCCAAGTTGTCAATTCTTCTGTATGAAAATTTCTTTGATAATGGACGTCATTGATTTCATAAACTTGTTTTCAAACTTCAGCTAGATTCATCGAAGTTTATGTTTCCTTGTCGTATTTCAGTTTTTCTCTTGGTAATGTCTGGTATACAAATTTCAATACGAAAAGAAAAAGGTAGAATAATTATTCACAAGTATACGTTTTAATAATAATATTTTGTATTTTAATAAATATAATACGACTAAGGGGAGTTAGCTGGCATGCAGGCTGCTTTGTTAAACAAACAAGAAATTGACATTATTGTTGTTAATTAAGGAAAAAACAACCAAAATTCTTGACAAAGTTTGTTAATTATTGCATGATATTCTATTGCCATTGACTAACAAAACTAATCTACGGTCGATAGCTTGATCGAATCAAACACTTTAAAAGGTTATTCACTTGAGAAGGGTATCTACTTTGAAGTAAAGGAGAAGCATATAAAATGTGGCGCTGGAAGTGTTTTTGTTTCTGGTTGAAAAGCTGAAAGTATTTTGGAAGTAAGGATATATAGCTTGATTGAAGTAGAGGGAAAATCTACAGTACGTGTAGATAAAAGCTATTTAACATGGAGAATACATAATATTGGTTCAAAAAATTGAAAGAGGTAATGGGTCCACATGCATAGGTAGAATTGAAAGTTTTTTATTGCACTAGCTAGGATTGCATGTGAAATAAGGGATTCAGAACTATGTCTCCTTGATGAATACAATAAAACAGATTATGTTGGATAAGAGCAGAAAGCTATGTACAATTTGAGATCCATAATTGGCTATAGAAGAGGTTAATAAACGTGCAAGGACCACAAATTTTCATGGCACTTTTCACAACTTTAGTAGTTATTACGTCTTTATGATGTGTTTGGATGAAGAATTTATATAGGGTAATTCATTTATTTGAAAAATTTTAAATTTCTTGAGGTGAAATGTTTTGTTTGGATGAGAAATTTACAAAGAATTTGAAATCCAAGCATTTGTGAAATTCCTTAAAATAATAGAATTTCAAATTCTCTAAAAAATGAGAGAATTTGAAATTCCTCATATTTGTTTTTCTTATTTCACCTATATATTTTATCTTATCTCTTCATTCTTTTAATTATTGGATATTCAAAAATATTTTTAAAATTATTAAATATTATCTTATATTAATTTTTAAAATTATTAAATATTATCTAATATTAATTTTTAAAATTATTAAATATTTAAAAAAGGATTAATATTTATTTTTATAAAATTTAATTTAAAAATCTCAACATATAAATATATTTTTAATCATCCAAACACACCATTAAGTCACCGGTTAAAGAATTAATTAAAAATATTTTTTTCTACTATAAAATAGAATATTATTAATATTTTTTTTTCTAAAGTTCAAGTGTTCCATACTTTACCTATAACAACTTTGGTATAGATTTTTCTATTTAAACTCAAAAAACTATTTTTTATTACTTCTACTTCAACCCAATTTTAGATACAAAACTTAATTTTACTTACCACCAACCAAATATCTATATAATGATAATATATGAATATGTATATTATAAATTATATTCGAATGACAAAATTGTTATAATTATATATAATTCTCTAAGAAAATTAATTTAATTTTCAAATTTTTACAAATTATTAAAATTATAAAATTATAATTTTAACTAAATTATACAAAATAATTGTTTATTTATGTAGATACTTATCTTGAGAGAGGGAGAGGGGGAGGATGTGTGTGTTGTCTATTTGTTGTAACAATGTACATTTTGCTAGTTGTGTTGATTTGTTGAACAATTATTGAAAAACTTTAGAGTTAAGTAATTTCTTATGAGTTTTATGCATTACTTTTGCATGTTTCCATGTGATTGGATTGCGATGATCATATAAGAATAAAGTAGGAATAAGTTACTATTGAAACTTGTTTTGAAGCCATGTTGGACGATGGTAATACGAACCTTTTTAGTAACTTTAGTGTGGATGGTTGTTAGTAGTATTGCTTGATTGACAACTATAATTTCTTTCATATTGTAAGGCTTCAATAGTTGATTAACTTTTTAATTATATATATATATATACTATTTATATATTCAGGTATTACTAGTATGTTAATCTCAATCGATTGTAATTTTATATTCTTCTGCTATTAGCATGTGTCGTTAAGTGTAATGACATGGTGAGTTGTTATATTTATTATTCAAATAGTTTTTGAAATTTTTTTAAAAATAATTATTATTTAATTTTAATATTTTAATTAATATTTTTAAGTATTATAAATATATATTATATGTTCAATACAAAATTTATATATTATAGGTTCAATACATTATATATGTAATTTATTATATTATTTAACATATTAGATATATAGTGGATATATAGAAAGGGAGAGAGAACATATCATATTTTGTTGGTTCTAACACAATTCTCTCTTTGGTCCATTTGTTAGAGAAAAAAAAAAAAAGAAATATGTGAGAAATAATGTAAAGACAAATAGGCGGATGAAAATAAATAAGAAATGAAATGAAATTGGTATTTGATTTAAGAGGGAAAAAAAGAAATAATATTATGTATGTTTGGTAATATGGATAAATAGATAAAAAGAAATAGTGTATGAAAATAGAAAGAAAAAAAATAAACAAAATATATAAGAGAAATAAGAAATAAATAATAAAAATAAAATTGAAAAATTAAAAATATTTTTAAATCAATTTTTTAAAATGATTATTCAAATAAAAGATTTATTTGATTATGCTAATAGAATAACATAAAATACCATTTAAATCATCATTTGATTTGAAGATATAAACTAGCTTTAACCGATGAAATATATGTTTAATTGATTAAATTTAACATAATTGTGTACTTCTTCAATGTTTGCGCTTAATTTTGCGACAAAAATAATAAGGTGTGAGCTGAATCACTTTTTATTTCTCTCTTCTTCATTTATTTTCAACCAAACACATAATTTTATTTATTTTTCACCTCTCACTTATTTTCTACCTATTTTGTCTATACCAAATGAAATGTTAGAATAAGAAATGTGTTAAATTAACATAATAAAATAAGAAAAAGATTAAATTATCCTGTAGGATTGATACAACAGACAACGAATTAAATTAAAATAATAAAATAAGCTATCATATCAAGAGTTGGAATATTTATTTTATCTTATCAAATAGTCTTTATTAATTAAAATAAATAAATTACACAGCATACCAATAAAACATTATTATCAGTATGCCGTTTAAGTTATTATAAAAATCTACAAAAAATATTATTGCGTTACAATATAAAACTATTTTCCACGATCAATGTGCATACCCTATTTTTTTCCAAGTATTTTTTATTTGACACTCGTGTATCGCGCATACATTTCCGTTTGGCACTCAGCATACCGAACACTATTTTCATTGATGACACTTACACCACAATTTTCTTTGTTGCCTTTTTTTGACTTTTATGCAGATCAAACCATACTAGCCTGCATATCTACCTATCCTATGATACGAAGTCCCTGTTTGTGTTTTCTGTTGACATTTGCCATAAATTTTACTTATTCCATGTTTTCGGCTCCAAGGTAACAAATGCATCCAATTGAGAGCTCTAACGAGCATCCAGAAAGCAACATCACCATACACTGTCAATTGTTTTCCTTAATACATGCCATCGGATGAATTCTCACTCAATTTCTTGGATAGGTATTTTAAGTTACTACTCACTAGCTAGACCAATGCTTAGTTCACCAACAATTGTTCAAAAGGCTTGTGCTTCAATTATTGTTTCCATACAACAACGTATTATTCAAATAAACAGAAGATCATTACTAAAGCCAAACATATGACCCCAAATGTATTGGTCTGTTGCCTTTAAATGATATACATACTATGGAATATGAAAATGAAAAGAAGATCTAACTTAAATTTGCCCTAATTTTTTTGGTCCATGCATAAATTTAACCCTGACAATTCATTATTTATGAGATTAAGAATTCAAAGTAAAGGCCCGGTGCAAAAGTGATAGCCTACTCTATCTTCGAAAACTTGACTTACATTTGCTCAGCCTTTACTATGAAGTTTTTTCTCTCTCCATTTTCTGCAGGGGTACTTGTGGGACAACTCGGGCATTACTCTTTATCTGCTTCAACATTTGAAGGGGTTTCATCACTTTTAACAGCTACATGTTCTGATTTGGCATCTTCAGTAGGCTTAGCAGCATCAATATCACGGGAAGTAGATTCTGATGGTTCACTGGTGGACTCTGGTTCAGTTACTGGAACTTCACTTTTAACAGTTCCAACCTTTACATACTTGCTCATAAACTTATATTCCCAGTCTTGTAAGGCGTCAAGCTCAAATGGGCCAAGTCCAGAAATATCCCCCGTCAGATCTTTCTCTTCAAAAGACATCTTCGCTAAAGCTCTGCTAGCATCCTTGCCTGCAAATAGGGCATATGGTCCACCAGGTCCATAAAACATCCTGAAAGTACACAATTCCAGGTGATAAAAATAAGGAGTGGTGTTAGCACCCTATTAAGTTAAACATAAAGAATAAGCAATATATATATATATATATATAAACAGAATTCATTCTTGCTTAATGGAGAATCAACCATTTTGTCAAGCAAAATCGTATGTCACTTCAGTTTCTTGGATATCACCATTTATAAACTAAGAGTACACACTCTTTTAAAGAGGGCCAAGGTTCATACTCAATGTCGTGTCCAATTTTATAGTTTTAAGACTTGAAAGTCCAGCTCAGCTAAAGTAGCTAGAGCAGACTAAACAGACATTGCAGCAGCAACAAATGATGCTTCTTGTAATCAAAATTAAATGAAACACAATGAGGGAAAACATACACACACCTGCTCATTACTTATTAGTTTCAGAACAAATAAGTTAGGTTGCAGTGAGGATATTTTGACTGCATCTACAAACAATACAATGGGAACAAGGACTCTGTATCTATACATAAATTAGATGCTACTGTTAAATATTGTATAATTTTTAATGGAAATCCTAGCTTATCGGACAACTTGATTTTGGATAATAAATGGGACGCTCCAAGTCAACAGAACCTGCTTGGAAATAATCCCGAAACATTACTTCAAGGGAAAACTAAATACGCACACAAATCCAATATTACATTTACAAAAGAAGAACATGACTGATATCATATTACTCAACTCCTCAAATCAGCATCTAGTTCCAATTCAATCAAAGTTAAACCCATTCAAATTAAAGATCTTATGAGCACTACATGTTTTCAACTCTGCGATTCATATGAAGGTGTACACTTACATGAAGACATGGAAATAAGGAGCAAACACTGAAGTTTCCCCCTTCCACCCACTCATACAAGCAAACAGTAAAGTTAATATAATGGCGATGATGGAAAATGGAACGTTGAAAACTGAAAAAGAACTTCAACACAACACAAGTTCCTATGAACCCTGTGTTCAACCTTTAAAATGCCACCTTCCGATGGACTTCGCCCCTGTTTGTTCAGTCTGTGGTTATGACAACAATTCTCACACATTTAAACGAACAACACACGCTCGAATCGCTTCGGACATGCATTCTAAATAGGTTCAATTATTCAAAATTAATTCTACTTAGCCGTAAAACAACCGAGAAGGTACCTCATAAAGCACAAACAAAAAAATAACCACATAAAGGAGCTAATGTACAAAGAGAAAAAAAAAATCAGACCTTTACAAAAGCAAAAGCACCTCAAACTCAAAAATTACAACATGATCGATCACGTGCACAAAAGAGCACCCCCAAACAGCACAGACGGAAAATATACTAATAATATTAAGCAAAGAAAACCTAATAAAATAAACCCAAAACCCAAAATAAGCATAGAGCATGAAAAGGAAACAAAAAAAGTAAAATTTAAGAAGAAAGGGGTGGTTTGTGTGTGAGGGCAAACCTGCTCTGGGAGACATCATAGATCTGGCCCTTGATGGCCATGAGTAAGGGCTTCTCGAGATCGGAGCCGTCGTAGGCTTTGAGTTCCTCGGCCGTGATCTCGCCGAGCTGAACCGGCGGGCGGAGAGGCGGCATCTCCTCCTCGTCCTCGACGGAGCGGTGGCGGCGGTGGTGGTCGTCGGGAGAGCCAAAGAGACCCGAAACGACGTAGTAAACGGCGAGAAAGAGCGCGAGGACGGTGAAGAAGGTGGCTGGAGATAGCCCAGTGTAGGTGACGATCTCCTCCTTCAAGGTCTCCCACGCTTGCACAGCCATGGCTAGAGAGAGAGAGAGAGAGAGAGAGAGAGAGAGAGAGAGAGAGAGAGTAGATAAAGAATGAAGAGAGAACGTGGAGGGTTTGCACTTCATTTTGTAAGTTGTGGCATCTACGCACCTAACCCCGTTATTTATTCCACCAAATTAATTCATTATTAATTAGACATGTACCACACGTTTCAGACCCCTTTTATTACCCTGTCACTTATGCAAGGTTATAAATTTAATTATACTATTAATTCATTATAAATAATAATTTTACTTTTCTCTACAACTTCCTAAGGCATTAAACGTTTCTAAAAATTAAGCATTTTTTTTCCATTTCATAAAATATTATTTACTTCGTGCCGTCTACAGAATAATTATTTATTTTATATAATTAAATTTTATAATAAACAATTGTTTTTAATTATTAATACTAGTTATAATATATTTATAATATTTGAAGTATTTATTTATTATAATTTTTATTTATATAAAATAAATTTTTTACATATATTATGCTAAAATATAAGTGATATTTGAACTTTTGAAAAATATAAGTAGTTTTAGAATAAAGAAGTGAATAAAATATTTGTAACATTGTGAAACTGAGAGACTATTTGTTTAATTTTATTAATTAAAAGACTGTGTGAATAGTTATTGTAATATAAAATTTTAAGCATCAAGAAATTTTTATTAATTTAGTTATTTAGAAATTATTTTGAGTTGAGGTTAACATTAATTAAGTTTAGGAGAATTTATATAGAATTTTCTTAAAACTTAAATTTTATAAGTTTATTTTTTTAAGAAACTTAAAGAGAAATAGTAGAATTTTAAATTCTCCCAAACAAGTAAGAATTTAAAATTTTTCATATTTTTTTTTCTTCTTATTTCACTTATATATTTTATTTTATCTCTTATTTCTTCATGTTTTGAATTATTGAATATTTAAAAATATTTTTAAAATTATTAAATATTATCTAATATTAATTTTTTAAATTATTAAATATTTAAAAATTAACTAATATTTATTAAATTTAATTTAAAAATATTAATATATAAATATATTTTTAAAATTAATTTTATCATGGTAGAATTAAATTATCATATTCAACTTAATAACTTAAAATTTTAAAAATTTTAAATTGACTTATTTAAGAATGATAGAAATTAAAATCAAATTAATTTAAATATCAAGAATTTAAAAAAAAATTTAATTTGTAAAATTTTTGGTCTAAACACAATATTAGTGTTTTGGGTCATCATTTTATAACTCACACTTCAAGTTATGCTGGGTTGAGATTTCTAACACATGCTTAAAACCAGTTCAATTTATCTTTATTGTATTTTAGCAGATTGAAGACTGATGTTCTTTTTTATGGACTGAAAGTGAAAGTGAAAGAGTTGGGCTTAGAAGTTTTAAGATACTTTTTTGTTTTTACAGCATGTTTCCGCGCCAATCTTTTACATCATATAGTATATTTTTTAAGGGGGATGAATGATGAACCTCAAATTTTAGGATTTATAACTACATACAGAGAGGGAAAGAAAGAATGTACCATGTCAAAGTTTTTAATTATTACGAGAAATGAAAAAATTTAATTACAACCCTTAAATTAAAATTGATGGCTCAAGTTTGTATAGTGACAAATCTAACACACATTTTTCTTCCTTGTATAATAAAGATCATACTAAAATTTTAAAAATTACATGTGATTTGTAATTAAATACGAAAATGCACAATTGATTTTAATCAGATAGTTGTAATTAATATTTATAATAGTTAGAAGCTTTTACATAATACATATATGAGAGTAAAATAAATAACTGTTAATTATTAAAACTTACTGTAAAAAACTTAAATCAATTAAAACATAAAAATCAGGTGATTTTAAGTAATTAACTTCTAATATTAATTATCTCTCTATTGTTGAATCGTTCCTCGCTCGTATAAAAATATATTTCTTGCTAAAAATTATTAGAAAATACAAAATGACTTTATGCTAACCAGCAGTTTATGCGTTATATATGGGTCCCTGTGAAGACATATGACACATATATAGATTAGTTACGAGAAGATTAATTTAATTATTAGAAAATTATTTTATTGATGAAAAAATAAAATAAAAATAAATAGAATTGAAACTTTCACTTTTGAAAAGTCTCAAAAACTAATTCAATTGATAAAACAGTATTTTAACGATATTTTGTAAACATCTCATTGCACTTAATATTGATATAAAAAAAAAAAAAGAAGATGAATATTAGTTAAAGAAATAAAGGAAACTAACACTACAAAAACATACCATATGCTAATACAAAATAAATGGTAGTAGTTGGATAGTCTTTATTTAATAGAATTTGAATTGTTAGTAAACATTAATGCTTTGCACTAATAATATTATTTGTTGTCAAATTATACCTAGTATATTTAAAGAAAATAAAACTTATAGCATATTTTATACCTTAAAAAAGAAAAAGAAAAAGCAGATGTATGTTAGTAATCATGATTGCTACAATACACCTATCTATTTTTTAAAAAAAAATATATGCTAACACCTTACATCTCTAGGTATATTTTAAGAATTTTTTTTTCTTTTAACATTCTCCTTTCGAAAACTTCTTGGTGTACATCGACAAATCTCAATATATAATCACGTAAGGTTAATTATTTTTTAAAATATAGTATAACCACTAATTAAATTCATTGACCCATGAACATTGAATCACCCTTCTTTCCAAGGAAGATCGTCTCTGGTTTTGCAAAAACTGCATGAGATCTCGAAAAAAAAAAAAAAAAAAGATTTGTTGCGATGAAAATTTTATCAAGTAATGTATTTTAATAAATTTCAACCTTGTATAAAAAGAGTTTGATTTCTATATATTGTTGATATAGATATTTTTATACCAGAATCCATCATAAATTTGATGACTCATAAAACTACTATAGTAAAAAAATTCAACAAAATCACCCTACATAACAACTTGCAATTGCCTGATTAGAAAACGTAAAAAACATTTAAACCGTCAATATATAAACTATTAACTCGCATTAAAAACTGAAGCTTCTTGAAGTTTTTACCAACTACAGAGGATCCTAATCTTTCTTTCCAATTAGTCGGTTCAACCGATTTTTAAAACATATTACTTGATAGTATAAGATGCGAGAAAGACAAAACTTATCCATTAGCATGGCAGAGGAAGAGAAGAAAGGTAGCCATGTAAATTTGAAACTAAAGAACAGGCCAAAACTAATCTCCTTGTACTCTATAAAGAACTAAAATTATTGTCTTATCAAATTTTCATGATAGATAATACTTCTCAAAATGAAACCAACTACAGAAACTAACTTATTATTCCTATATACAGTTACAAGATATGGCTGACTCCTAAAGGGTGCAACAGCATTCATGCATAAGAATTAAAACTTTGTTTATTTGGATCTAGACTTAAGGTAGCATGGTAACTATGTACCCAAAAAAAGGTAGCATTGTAACTTGACAAAAGAAAATGTGACATGTGTTTCGGTAACAGCTAGATCAGTATCAGATCGCTTTTGTTTGCTTAAAGTGCGAGAGACCTCACCTCATCTGTTTTCCAAAGCCCTTCCTCGTACTTGTACCACCTAACCAATCCTTCATCATTTCTTGTTCTTTGGCACATGACACACGCGTCGTCCATGCATGTGAGAAATTCACGCAACCGAGAAGCCTTCTGGCAAATAGACACATCAATTTCTTTAATGGTTCTTCTATGATGAGGAGCTGGAAGGGCTTCCATCAGAATGCAATGTGATATGTTGAGCACTTCTAAGTGTTGCAAGTTGTCAAGGATGAAAATGAGAACATCCTTATATAATATTGAGCATCGAAGGCTCAAGACTCTTAGTTTTGGGAGAAACACAGCAAGAGACTTAGCAAAGAACATGTCACATGGCCCCATAATCTTGAGTTCACTGAAGTTCTGGCAGTGCGTTGAGATTTCCTCCAAAATATATGGTGGATTTGCTATACTAGGCATTGTCATGGACTCTAACTCCTTCCAGCCGCGGATGGCCTTGCACATTCCTGGTTTCTTGATTCTGTTCCAAGCTGGCAGCACGAGTCGTCTGAGTCCTGGGCACCTGCAAAAGCGAGATGATTAGCTCTTCAGACAAACCACATATGCAATCTTCATTTTGAAGGAGTTAATAACTGACAATGGTTGCCCCGTTCTCTTCTAAAATTGAAATACAACCAAACTATCCTACTAATTTGCTAGTACTTCATTATTTTCATAAATTTTACAGCAATCCACGGGAAAAAATCTCACAAAAGCTAGTCCTAGTGGAAGTTATTGCCCCCAATATCAAGCAAGATCATTAAGATGTTAAAACCAAAGGGAAACATGATGGATCAAGATATCATATTCCAAACAAAGGCTAAAAATATTCATTGTTATGTACAACCTGTGTGTATTGATTTCATATCGTTTATGCTAACTGTATACGTTTAATACATAGATATCCTGATTTTGAAAGTTGAAAAGTTACCTTTCAGCAGTGTATGTCAACTGTTCATCACTTACGTACAAGTTGAAATGGAAGATCAAAGTCATTATATTCAGCCGGCTGAGACCCAGCGAAATCTTCAATATACGCGTCAATGTCCTATCAGATCGTCCATCAACGTAAACAAATGGCTCTAATGGGATCTTGATGAAATTAGATCTTAACAGTGACAAATCTAGTGTTCTCCAAAGAAGTGGATCACAGCAAGCCATGCGCCATGCACTACAAACACGAGAGATGCCAGATGTCAACTGAAAAATGTCAAGCAACTGAAAAATCTTCACCAAAATATCTATGTCCAGATCCTCCCATCTCCTTATGTTAGAGTCGTTGTCTTCCATTATGCTGGTTTTCCAAATTTCTAACACAATTTCAGTTTGAAGAAACACCTGCAGAAACCAAATTAAAAAACAGTAGCAAGTTTAAACCATCAGAGTGAAAAACTACAGCAGTCAATGAAACGAATAAAAGTTCTGAAATAAACACAGGGTAACAGCAATTACAAGCAAGCTTTCAAATCCCAACAGCTTAGTAGCTGATCAAAAAAACATTATAGCGGGATAGCCTCTATTCTAAAAAAATATTGTGTAGTATATAATATATATAATGTAAACTATATACACACATAAATTCTAAAAATGATAAAAATTACTCAATTCAAGACATTCATAATTAACAATAAACAAGCATAGGTGTCTTAAACAAAAGATAAAAGTAAATACCAACAAAAGTCAAAAATAAATTTCCTAGTGTAACATTGCTGGAGAAGAGAAGGACATCACAGGAAGAGTGGGTAGCAAGAAAGATGAAAGGGTTTAAAGGAGTTTGGTTGCATAACTGTCATAAGCGTTTCAAACTTTAGAAGAGTTTTTTGTTGTATATACATGCAAACAAAGAAGAATAATGTTCCAAAAACACCGTTACATAAAAGCTCTAACAGTAATCCTTAGAGAGAATTTTCAGGAAAAACAAAATGATGGCGCTATCACAGCCATTACAGCCGCAAACACCGAACCACACTGCTATGTGTGCTTTGCCACGGCACTATATGTGCACTAATCTCAACCCTGATTACAATCATCACCAGATTGCCACATTTTTGGACCAACAAAGTAAACGACAAATATAAACTAACAACTTTATTTAGTAAGGTTGTTTTAAGCTGCCTTTGGAATAAATAAATAAATACATAATTAACTTATATTAACAACTTTTATACTTTGCCTTTTGGTCTTTTTAAGCTTTCAGTCTTTGGTCTTTAATGTTTAATCTTCTGTTCATTACAGCGATATTTCAAGTCTCCTTTCTGCCAATACCACATTATTCAAAGATAATAGATGGAGAAATAAACAAAGATTTCTTTTTCAAAACAATGATTGTCATATATTATAAGCCAGAAAAATTAAGTAGAGTATAAATTTCACTTCTTAAAAGAGTTAAAAACACTGAGCCTGAGATGCTAGCTTTCATTCACAAAAAATGTAGATTTTAGCTCACAAATAACTTAATATACTCAAATTCTTAATTTGGTATACAAGTACAACTCAATCTCACATCACAAGTTTTGAGAAAGACAACTTTCTTTGTTATTCTTCAACAAATTAATGGGAGTGATAACATTTCCTTATAGCACATTTAGTATGTAGACTTCAAAGAATTCATGAATTATGTTTCTCAAAAATCAGGTGTCTCAGTAATCCTACTTGAAATGTTAACTTGAATATGGGTAAAATATTCCTACAGGAAATCCCCAAAATGTTAGTTTCTCCAGGATATTTATAAAAAAATCCTACCAAACATACAAATTTATCACTCCTAACTTAAGATTCCTGTGAAACCTAAATGAATCCCCTTACCAAACACCCCAGTGCTAATATACAGTGTTAATCATAAACCAATAACTAATTGGCAGTACTAAGCATCAGCATAAGTTCCGATTAACATGCAGGGGCTAAAAACCTTTAACCTTCATCACCCCATCGGAAAGCTTTTAGAGACAGAGAGAATTTCACACTCATCATCCAGAACCACCATGGATACAACCCCATTGTTACTGAACTCAATCATTTTCGCCTGAACTTACAAATTAGACAGATAAAATGCTAAATGACAAACATAGAAGCAATTCACAATTCTCATAACCTCTATACTAAACACCACTAACTCCACTCCATGATTCTCATAAACACGCTCAATAAAACCTTTTAATTCAGATTTCAGAAAGATCTTTGATTAGCAAATATATCATCATTCATCTACAAACTACGAGTAGGATAACAAAAGAGATGTGAGGCCAGCAAAGAAAAACAAACCAAAAGAAAAAGACATAGGAAACGACGAGCAAAGTGTATTACGAGTCCAAACCACATTCGCGCAAAAATAAAACTTGATCATTAAAGATGAAGAATGGATGTCAAATGAGTGGGGAAATGAACAATTAAGCACAGAATGAACAAAATTACTGAACTCCCAAAGGAAATTTGACACTCATTCAATTAAACTCCCCAGTCCCAATTAGTCCTGTTTCACTCAGCCACTCGGGCCAACTTGAAAATTTTCATGACAGAATAATTGCTCAATAAAAATAAAAACTTGTAACCCCCTCACACACCAGATCGCAAAAGTACCAAATCCGAGACAGAAACAAGTACAGGACCAATCACCACCACAATTTGTGATCAAACAAAATCCAGAAACCCAGAAATGAAAAGGCACGGAAAACAAGCCTTGGAAACTCTAAAAATCATGGGTCGGTCATTTAAGATGAAGATCTAATCCCCCGTTACCCCAAAATTTGGTCTTTGTTTAAAATAAAAATAAATAAATAAAATAAAATAAAGGAAGGAAGGCATACACAGAAGTACGCGAGTGTAAAGGTGATTGCTTTGTGTAGAATGAGGAGAAAAAACAGACCTTGAGAGAACACAAGTAGTGTGCGGTGTGGATGAGGATGTTGGTGTCGTTGTTGAGTAGCTGAGTTGAGGATGAACAAGTGCAAAGGTTGTGAGGTGTTCATGCTACGCTTTTTTTTCCCCTTTTTTTTTTTAATAAAATTGTTAGGGAAACATGTAATTGCAAAGAGAAAGGTGGATGTAGATGCGGATTCCAAGGGACGGTGAGAAATTACGGGAAAAGGCTTAGCTTAGGTCATCATCATATGCAGTCATTTCTAGAAGTAAAAAACACTTAAATACAGTTAATTACATGGTTTTAATATTATTTTGCTATTAAAATTTGAGTTTCACTTCACATTCTATATACTAAAAGATTCGATTTCTTTTAACATACAAAAAATTACTAAAATGATCATAATAAAAATTCGAATCAAAGTGTTTATTTTTAACTATTTTAATCTTAACCGTTTCTTCTCTATTCACTAGACACTTTAAAAAAATAATAAATGAAAAATAAATAATTGATATAATTTGTAATGTTATATGAGAGATAGAGAGAAATAAAGAGTTTCAGTCGTGTGTTTGTAATTTTTTGAGTATCTAAAAAAACATTACTCTAAATTTGATTTACTATCAATAATTATTTTTTATACCGTTAATCAATAAAAAAAATACGTCATGAATCTTACAAGAGTTTATACACAAACAAAATATTAGAAGGTTACATGTAATTATTTAAAAAAAATATAAAAAGTTTTTTTATATATATTTAAAGGGTATAATAGTCTATTAAAAAATAAAGACGAAAAGTGATTATTTTTCTTAAAAATAAATTACTGTGAAACTTAAAAAATTATCATTCGTGATATTCTTTTTTTTTTTCTTAATATTTTTTTTAGATATGTTTGAAAAAGTTAACTTATAGTTTAGGTGAAAATTTATTGGTTACAAGATAGAAACAAAAGAATTGAAAGCTTGTAAGTTAGCTAATTGAATTGATTTTTAAAGATTAACTAATAAATGTTAAATGTTATTAAATGATTTTAGTAACGAGTATGAGAAAATAACATGATAAGAAAAATAATTTATAAATTTAAAAAAGATAAAAAGAAATAATTTATAGTAAATTAACAAGAAAAAAAAGGAAAACAAAATAAGAATTCATGAATTATAAATTATTTCAATTAGTTCATGAAAATAAACTCTTATTAATTAAACTTACAAAAAAAAGGAAAACAGAATAAGAATTCATGAATTATAAATTATTTCAATTAGTTCATGAAAATAAACTCTTATTAATTAAACTTATTTTAATAAGATTAACTTATAAATTAGTTAAAAAAATTATATACTCTTCAAATGTTAATCAAATACATTCTCAAAAAATAATCATGTTCAACTTAAATAAATAATATAACAAAAAAAATATAAATCAATAAGAGTGTCAAATAAATCAATTCAATTAATTTAATTTTTTCTTATCTTATTAAAAAAATGAATTAAACTGAATTGATTGGAATACTCTTTGTACTTCTTTTATTTTTAATTATTTGGATTATAAAAAAAAAGACTGAATTGGTTGCCAACCTATTGAAAATATTTATAAATTATTTTTCATTCTACTTATTTTAATTGTTCAAAAAAATTTATCTAAAGATATCTCAAATCTTATGATCAGATATAATTAATATATATATATATATATATATATATAATTAGTAATAATTCAAATGTTCATTGACACACATATTTAATAAGTCTATTCATCAAAAAAAAAAAGTCACAAATAAATTTACCAACAGTAATAAAATAAGTTTACAATATAAATTTTTAACAAATAAATGAATCACAAATAAAAATATCATAAGTTCATATTAAAAAAATGGTGTATCTCGTGCTGACCTTTTTTTTTTTCTATCTTAACTTTTTTTTCATCCCTTATACCCAAATAAAAGATTAGTGTGAGATAAATATAGAAAGTTTAAAGTAAGATATTTGTTTATAGAAATATTGACATCATATAATGAATTGGTGGGTTGAGTTAGCAGCAATTGTTGCCTACAAACGCAGCCACAGCCTTAACTTAGTTGCATGCCACTTACTATATTCATGTTTGTTTTATCATTTAAAAAAGTTAAACGTACATTCAACTCAATCTATTTATACTCACATGAGAATGTGTGTAACAATTTCTATATCTATTCCATTTCACCTATGCCCTTCTCTACTCTCTTTTATTTTTTTATAATAAAAAAATTAGGTGAGATAAAATTCAGAAACTTATCCATTATCCTAAACCTCAATTTTTTTTTTTAAATATACTTATAGATTATTCATCAATAAAATTTTCACATAGAAAAAACCAAACATATCTTTTTATCACGCGTAACTTTTTCACACATAGTTTTATAGATTTCACTTTTTTTTTTCCAATTTATCAAATTACTTTTAACTTAAGAGTAATGTTATTTTCTCTTCACCCTCCTCAAAAACCAACTATTATTTTATAAAGAAAGTATTATATATATATATATATATATATATATATATATATATATATATATTTGTATTTTATATCTTAAAAATACATTCAAAATAGTATATTATTTTCATTTAATACTTTTCTTACTAGGTAAGAAGAGAATTTGTAGAAGGAAGAAGTAGAAAATATGACATTGTTCTTAATTTAATGCTATCAATTGTAAGAAAAATAATTGTAAAGAGAAAGAAAAATAAATTAAAATTATAAAGACATATAAACATAATAAATGATGTGATAGACAAAAAAAAAAGGAGAATAACTTAAAGATTAATGATAAAAAAAAATAATTTGAAACAACACACTTTTTTTTTTTATTTGTTAAGAAGATATAATTCATGATGTCAAAGTCCGGTGTAAATATTCATAAGTTCATTAAAAAAAAAAGTAAAATTGTCCAATCAATAATTTGTTTTAATTTTAAGGGACGGTAGTGCATTATACGAATTCTCCATATTTAATCATCTAAATGCAAACCAAAATTGGGACAAATGAATCAAAATTCACTAATAAACGAAAGCCTAAAATCAATTTAATATATCACCAATACATACTTGAGTTCTCATCCAAATATTAAAGTGCCACAAAATCAAACCCTCAAACATAATTAAATCGATTATTTCATAAGGGTGTGATTGTGTAACAATCGTGAGTTGATGCACTGTATGGCATGTTAATTAAGAGTAAAATCGATAATTGTGTACCTGAGAGAAGGTTTGAAATCATCATCTTCTCTTTGAGGATGTGCTATCTTCACTGATAAATGTACTTGAAATGCAGAACTGGCTCAACCCATCACAAGGTCATTTATATATATAAAAAGAAATCCAAATTTTAATATTCTTAAAGATAGTCAAATGTATCAATTATAATTAATAATTTTATAATTGATAACTTCTGTCCAATTTTTTTTTATAATTGCTAAATAATAATTAAACAATATTTAAAATGTTAATCAATGATCAATAAAATTATTGTGGTCAATAAAATTGATTGCTGAAATTAATAAAGTGACAAAACAATCCTTTAAATTATACATTATCAATCAGTTTAGTCAAAGAATTTAATACACAGCCAAATTAGTTCATAAATAATTTAAATGGAAAAAATAATCTCTAAATAGTAAATTATCAATCATTTTAATTCTTTCAATTATAACAGTCAGTCAAATTGACTCTCAAAGTTTAAAAAAAAATTGCAACATTCAAAAATTTTCAAAATTAAAAAAATTTATTTATTAAATTTATAAATTTATTTAATAGTTAAATTATAAAATATCTTA